TTAACCCCACCCCGCCGCCAAGAATAGCGTTCACGGCCTCCGAGACCATCCCCTGTGGAAAGGAAGCGACTTTTTGGTCATTTATTGAACCAGATGAAAGGCCGGGCATATGAAGTTGTAAGTGCAAAAAGTTCAAACCTTTAGCGAACCAACGGTGGCAGTCTCTGGGATTTCAATGAAAAGTTCAGGCACTCTAAAGGATTTGATTCTGAGCCTCACTGAGCACAACAAAGAAATTTTAGCCAACTGAATACAAAGCCGAAAAAACGTAAATATGTGAGTTTCCTGAGGTTTCAGTACCGTGAGAATCTCTTGACTGGATTATCGGTTTCTGACCAGATGTGGACATTGAAAAGGCTGAAGCTGCAAAAAAAAAAAAGGGGAGTAGCGTCGAAAGCTTAGTCATTTGGCCATGAACGGCCGATGTACAAGAGATGCAGTTTGCTCGTGGAAGCTGGACGAGAAGAAAATGCGCTTACGAGTATTTTTTCTATTGTTATCACCGGCGGTGCGCTTGTGAGGAGAATCACAATGATTTTCCTTCTTGACTGTTGCTTCCGACTTTGGTGATTTAAAACATTCAAAATACCTTCTCTTCTTGATCGGATAGTTCCTCTCCGATCTTAGGCTCCTGAAATAATTTCTCTTGCCGCAGTATCCGGGCTTCAAATCCACATCTAATAAATTTTCAGAGAAAAAAACCCCAAAATTACGCGGTAAAAAACGTCAAGATTGACAAAGGAAGATGAAAGTAGCAAGTTCACAACAACAACAAAAACTGCTTACTTGAATTAGTTAGTGTTGTGTCCGTTGGTTTTGGGGAGATTGTACAATACTTTGAGGCCAATACTTTCCTTATTCTTCTATCTCCAACACGGATTGTTGACCTAAACGATTTCATCGCGCCACTGACATGAACCCGAGCTGAGTTTTCGTCATCATCATCATTTTCCCTATTAACTAAATCTACGTCATCTTGATCTACAAGCAAAGGATTTTGAGGAATTGAATCCCCATAAGCCGGTATACGAGGATGCTCATTCTTTGGTACCGCATCATCCCCTAACGACTTCACTTTTTTGTTCAGGCATCTGACCACTGATTCATTCTCATTATTCTCCGACCTGATCCCATATCCACCATCTGGACTTACAGTTTGGATCTTGATTCCATACGTCACATCTCGAGCACCAAACCTCTCCGAGGAATCAGAGGATGTAATAACAGAGGTAGACCCGAGACAGGGATCTTTGGGAGGATTCAGGGATCTGTTAAAGCCTTGTATTTTATGAGATTCCGGAAGGATCTCGGAGACAGAGAATCTCGGGTGAGCATCATCACCGACACGAGCTTCTTCCCTCACTGTTTGGCTCTGTGTAACTGCACATCTATCTCCATTATCAAAGGCATTGTTGCTCGAGGAGGAAGAGATTCCACCCTCGAGCAGAAGATTTCCAGCTACAGCAGCCAACAAGTCGAACCGAGATATCTCTTGGTCGAAGCCTTTCTTCTTGAAAGCACTCCTCTACAGAAGAAAACATACAAAACATCCGATGAAACACCTGAACCAAATCATGAGAAAAAGAAGAAATTGATAGATAGAAAAGTGGAAAAGAAAAGGGTAATTACTCTAGCTGATCTTGCGGCTCGAGGTGTGGCCGGAACCACATACCCACCGAACCCATAGTCTAGCCTGTTCTGCAGCACCATGGTTCAGATACCATTTCATATGATCACGAATACAAAGCCTTTCTCGGGTATTCATACATCAAGCTGTTCCAAACAAGAACCCTGCACAGATTTCGCACTGATAACAAATTAATCCAAACCCTGTTAATGAGATTTGATGTTAAACCGATACAACAATGCAGAAATCTGCAATCAAGATAGGTGTGATCCAAACATCTTCCACAGGCATAACCTATAAAACTGTCTCCAATTCCAGGCACATATATGCATTGCCCAAAACGGACATTATCCTAGATTACCTCAGTAACCAGACACCTAGAGCCATGCTATCTCATATCAAATCCACAATTCAACAGAATCATATGGATAGTAGAGAGGCATTTCAGAAACAAACTTCTAATAACCAAAAACAAAGGTTGAAACTTTGGGGCCTCATTGGCCAGCTTCGAACTAGAATTCCAACACAAACTACAAGCTGCCTCCGCTTTCTCGGAAACCAAACAAAACTCTAGATCCTGGGTACCAATATTCAGGGGGGGGGGGAACTCGAGCTTCCTCTTTTTTTTTACCGGCCAAAAGATAGTGAAAAAAAACCATCATATGAGAGGAAAAAAAACCCAAAACGCATGCCCGCAATACGAACATAGCAGATCCATAGCGACCCGAATTTTTCTCACCGGTTCAAGGGCTCAAAAGTTTCGGACAAGACAGACAGGATCTCCGGCGAGTTCTCCGGACAATGCAAGATCGGATAAACACGAAGAATCAACAGAATTCTCTATCGAACCACCGAACGGGGAAAGATCTCATATCATTCTTCGCCTGACCCCATAATATCCACAGGAAAAAACCTTGCTTTTTTCAGAGAAATTACCCGATGACCGTAAAACCTCTCTGAAAACCACCAAACGTAACGCTGGCTTAAACCCCTGCTCTTATAACGCTCCCACCGGACCTGTCGGTAAATGGGTTGAGTTACCGGCTATAACCAGTAAAACCCACCCTGAAGACCTGTTCTTCTTCTCCTAATTGTGTGACCCACCACTGTCTCACGACCCCACTCCAGATTCTGACACGTGTCAACTCTCTGCCACCATTCACAACCTCGACAAAAACGTTGTCACAAGCCACGCCTCTGTATTTTTGTTTTTTTTTCACTTAAAAGGAAATCAATTTCACATTTGTTCTCGGAAATTTTAGTGATTTAATTCGAAATAAAATTAAAGATTTAATGTTGATTATGATAATCACGTGATTAGCATATAATTGCTATCGAATCTATACGGGATATTGTCCTGGGTTTTATTCAGCAATCAGCATCGTCGTAGATCTTTACGGATCTAGGACAAAATCGTCAATTAACTCTTATGTTTTTTCTGTTTCCGAAGCTATCACGATAAGCATGCCATGTCTATCTTAATACTATATGTTTTCGGCAATTTTCATTTTCAAATTCCATATTTAACTATTTTCGCACAATTAATTGCTAATATTATTAGAAATAATCTCATGATTATGAAATCTCTGCCTAATAAATAGTCCCTTTAGCAACAAAACTAGTAAAAAGAGTTCATTTAATAAGATATATATATATTCTCTATAAGTAGGATTATTTGTAAACAAATGTGTTAAGGATAATAACGTGTGATAAGTGGCAATCGTGGGACCCGCAGGACAAAGACTGCGAAAAGACGGAGAGAAAATAAAGCTCCTTTAGTAAGAGGACACGTGGCGCAACGAGAACGTGGACGAAGGTTCTAAATCTAATCCGTTGTTACCCGCACATGATGGTGATGACGAACCAAAGCCTCATGGTACCATACGTGTGTGAGTGACCGTGCGATCGCCATATAGGTCAGGCATCTTTTGGTGTTAAGGGATTTAGATATTTATAATCGTGGGACGAAATTCAAGTCTAATAATATCTATAGGAAATTTCTGAATCGAATCGAATTCTTTTAGGTTTGATATACTGTAAATGTTCTTATTAAAACGGTCTCAATTAGCTATTTGTCAAATTTGGCGTTTGTAATCGCTATTATGACATGTACAAATACGTAATTAACATATATATATAAAGACTTCCGATTATATTAGTAAATCTATTAAAAATGTTATTTGCATCTATATAAAAAATTTTATTTTCAATAAACAATGTTGATCCAGATTTTTTAATACTCGAAAACAGGATATTTCAAAGTTGGTAATTGATAACAAATTCTTGTATTATATATTGGGAAACGTTCTTAAATAATTTAATTTAGTTTAGTTAATTAGCGTGTCCGCGAGGGATTTCAGGGAGAAGGAGCAAAGACGCTTGATTCACTTTCTCATCAGAGGAGATTCCTTAGCGTTTGCACGACAATGTCGTGAAGCTCGATTCCTTTTTTCTCGGCTTTTTGTTCTCTCGATCGAATCGGTCGGAGGGAGCAGTTGTAATGACGCGGGATCGGCAGGAGGGCGTGGAGATCAAGGTGGTGACCCCCCCGCCGCACAATGCGGCCGGACAGTCGCCGTCCTCGGCGGCGCGTCGCCGGAGAAATCACTCGGCGTTCTCGGAGTTCAGGCCGTTCAAGCTGTGGGCGCCTTGGCTTGTGCCGGCGTTCGCTGTGGCTAACATTGTCTTGTTCGCCATCGCCATGTATATCAACGATTGCCCCAAAAATTCGCCGAATTGTTTCGCTAGGAAATTGGGGAGATTCGCTTTTCAACCGATGAAGGAAAATCCTCTTCTGGGTCCTTCTGCTTCTACGTGGGTAACCCTAAATCTCTGAACTTTATTTGGCAACTATGCCCGCTTGTTTGGGTAATTCCTGATTTTGTTTACTGGTAAGTGAGTTTCTTGCTGACAAGTCTTGATTTTGAATCTATAGTTGATTTCTGTAACTTCAGATTCATGGGTTCCAATGACACACATTTCGTAGAAACTTCTGTTACAATGGCGATATGATGTTAAAAATTTGATGGGGCCATATTTCGTTCTTGCTAATTTTTACACTGATGATTGGCGTTCGCCACTTTCATGTTGAATAGCTACTTTTTCTAGAACTTAAGAATTTCTGTAGGCTGCCTGAATATGAAATTTGGTGAATAGAGTTGGCAAATGCATCCATATAGAAATTTATGGGACTTCGTGTCTAGGGTAATTTGTATTGAATCTTTGCTTCTGGTGTACTTTCTGACAGTCAACTACGGACCTTTCACTTTGCGGGGGGTTACAGTGATAATTCATACTTGACTACATTTCGAAACTTGATAAGAATGTTCTTGTCTGTACTCACTCGGCCTTGTCCAGTTGTTCTATGGCTGATGAGATTAAGATTCTCAGACACCTGGTTTAGCTGTACCCAGAATGTGGAATATGCATTAATGTCTTGAAATCGTGCCTTTTGCATGCCAGATTGGATAAAATGGGTGCCTTAGATGTTTCCATGGTGGTCCAAAAGAAACAGGTGTGGCGGCTGTTCACTTGTATATGGCTGCATGCCGGACTTTTCCATTTATTTGCCAATATGCTGAGCCTTCTCTTCATCGGCATTCGACTTGAGCAAGAATTTGGATTTGGTATACACCGGACCTGATTTTCTCAGTTGTCAACTTTTTTCCCTTCTTTTAGGATCAATCATTTGCCTGAATCTTGACTCTTTCAATCTCTTCATTAAAGTTCAAAACTTTTACAATGCCAATGCTGTGTTGCCATCGAGACAGATAAATACCAGATTTTGATGATTTTGGTCTTTTGTTCTTTTTTTCAGATATTGGGAAATCATTCTTAGTGTGGCTAATATGGAATTCTTGAACATGATATTGCTTCATAGTTCACACTTTGCTAGTTTGCTTCCACACTACAAAACCTCTGACCCTTGCTGAAAATTTCCTGACAGTACGCATCGGAATGCTCTATATCATTTCTGGTTTTGGTGGAAGCTTGTTGTCTTCTCTCTTCAACCGGACTGGTATCTCTGTTGGTGCATCTGGAGCACTTTTCGGCTTGCTCGGTGCTATGCTTTCAGAGCTACTCACGAATTGGACTATATATGCAAATAAGGTGACAGCCATTTCCATATTAACAAATCAAAAGAAGAGAGAAAAAAAAGGGATCAAAACTTTCACATACCCGCGTGCTGAATGCTTCATTTGTTTCCGTTGGCAGTTTGCAGCTCTTCTAACTCTCATCTTCATCATAGCCATAAATTTAGCTGTGGGTATTCTTCCACATGTAGACAACTTTGCCCATCTCGGAGGATTCACATCCGGCTTTCTTCTAGGTTTCGTATTCTTAATCCGTCCTCAGTATGGATACTTCGACCAGAAGACTGCACCTCGGAGACATGCTGCACTGTCTGCTAAGTCGAAACATAAAACATATCAATATGTTCTATGGGTCATATCCTTAGTACTTTTGATAGCCGGGTAAGCTATAATTGCCGTCTTTCTGTGGAAGAAAATGAAAGTTACTTTCAAATATCTGATGTAAAGCTATGCAACATGTTCAGATACACAGCTGGCCTAGTAGTGCTTCTTCGAGGGACAGATTTGAACAATCATTGTTCATGGTGCCATTTTCTCATCTGTATTCCTACGTCGTTATGGAGCTGCATATCATCAGATGTCTACTGTGAGGTAAAAAAAAGCTATACAGTTTTCTTGAACCTATTTAAACCCAAATGCCTGTGCATGTCTTTTGGTTTCTGTTTGTTCCCAAGGTTCGTTATTTTGCATCTGTAATTGGGTTTGTATAAGAACATTGTACAAACCTAGTTGAAATAACAAAATCTGGTGACATGGTTCCATATAAATGGAGAAGATAGAATATGGAGGTTCTGTTGGGCGAGTACTGTTTCAAATACATTTTCGCGACATAGTTTGTTCAAAACCGGTGATTATGGAAATTGGTGTCTGGTGCAGTCGAGACGGATCAGGAACAGGATGAACTTGACATGCATCACTAATGGAAGAACAGGGATGTACACGGTCTCAGGCGACAACCAGTTCCAGTTTCAACAGTTGTGTTCTCAGTTGTGCAGCTGATACAACTACACATGCTTTTATATAGAGAGGAGGTAAGGAAGGAGTCTCTGTAGAAAGACATTCATTTAATTCTATCTTGTATTTCAGTTTTTTTTTTGTTCATTGTTTGGACAATTGTTTTCGAAACCAAAACAAAAGAAGAAATGAAAGTAACGAGTTTGCGTTCATAGCACGGGTGCCATTTCAGTCATATCTTGTGTGTGCTTTTGTACATGTATATGTTATTCTTGAAACCCTAGAGAATCAGTTAGGAGGAAGTGAACTCCAAGTCTGTCGGAGGCAAGAGAGCAGCAGCCATTGCAGCCTTCTGTTGGAGTATGGTCGGACTTTCAGATTTCTTAACAACTCAGCTTCAATGAACACTAAGAAAAAGATCTTTGATGTTGGAGTATCTTCAGGTATCGTATGACTTTAGTTACATGCCATTCCCGAGTGAAAGCAAGAAACCTGTAACGAGGTATGAACATTAAAATGCGATGTGAGTTTAGGATAAGCATGTGTGAGAATTGTTAGACATTGTTTCCAGCAAAATTAGTTGGAGAAATGGCTTCTTTGAATTCCATCTGTACCAGTTTTTCTCTACAAAACATACTTCAAAAAATTCATTCTTTCATTTTCAACCACCAACCTGTATGTATCAAACGTTTTGCTGTCCTTTATGCTCATCACACCATTTTCAATTGGCAGTTGACTTTTTCAGGGGTTGAACTCTCCAACTCTATGTCATGTCCCATGGGAGGAGTTGCTCTTATAGCGTCAAACGTTGTCTGTTTGTGGCCATGGTTGATGTCCATGGACAGTTGTAGAAAATGGAGAGCCGTTACATGCTTTTTGGCGTTGATTTCAACTTTTTCAAGTATATCTCTTGCTCAAGCTCAGAATCAGCAAGGTACATGAATGAATTATAACGCTTATAGACATTGTTTATGTACCCTTCTCTGGATTCACTTTGAATGTGTTCAAAGGACATCTTTTTCTATTAAAGATTATATCCGTTTTATTTAATGTTCTCTTCAATGTCTTAACAGGGTTCATCAGTTTGGATTGTGGGTTGCCCACTGCAGAGTCCCCTTATACCGAATTGTCAACCGGTCTAACATTTGTATCAGATTCTGATTTCGTCCACAGTGGGAAAAGTGGTAGTATCCAGAAAGATCTCGAAGAAAACTACATAAAACCTTACGTGGTTCTGAGGTACTTTCCAGAAGGAATACGGAACTGCTACAATCTCAGTGTCATCAAGAACGTCAATTACTTGATCAAAGGCGTTTTTGTGTACGGAAACTATGACGGTCTCGATGATCCCCCGAGATTTGATCTGTATATAGGCCCTAATAAATGGGGAACTGTAGATTTGGAAGGGAAGATCAATGGAACAGTTGAAGAGATCATTCACATGCCAACATCATACTCTTTGGAGATTTGTCTGGTTAAGACAGGAACAACTTTACCATTCATAACAGCCTTGGAACTACGACCATTTAAAAGCGATACTTATATTATTGAAGCCGGTTCCTTGAAGCACTTGTTCCGGGTTTATCTTACCAGTTCTGGTCGCTATATACGGTAAGTCTTAAGCCAAACTTCTTATCTAAGAGACATAACTGACATAGCTTTAGATTTCATTTCCTTAGTTATGTCTCATACAAGATTGTTATTGTTCTAGGTATCCCGATGATGTTGTTGATCGTAATTGGTCTCCGTTCTTCTTACCGGAATGGACACAGATAACCACCGCTTTAACTATAAACATTTCAAGTAATTATGAACCACCAGAAGCTGCAGTTGCAACAGCCGCGACACCAACAAACGCCGGTGCACTATTAACCATAAACTGGACATTGGATAACCCTTTTGACCAGGTTTACACATACATTCACTTTGCTGAGATCCAAGCCATGCAGACCAACGTTACCCGAGAATTCAGCATCGTGATCAATGGAAATGTTACTTACACGGCTTATAGTCCTAAGAAGCTGTTTCTGGATACAATATTCAGCACAGCCCCTGAGAAATGTGACGGTGGGAAATGCAGTGTTCAACTGGTGAAAACTCTGAGTTCAACTCTTCCACCTTTGCTTAACGCTATCGAGGTTTTCACAGCAATTCAGCTTCCACAGCCGGAAACGGATCAAAACGACGGTATCTAAGCAAGTGCTGATATTAGTCTTTTTCTTGCATATAAACCCATGTTTTTTTCCGGTTTTGCTAATTCTCGGTTTCTCCGTGGTTTCTGTCAGTTATTGCTATCAAGAATATCGAAGCTACATATAGATTGAGTAGAATCAGTTGGCAAGGAGATCCATGCTCCCCTCAACAGTTCTTGTGGGATGGTCTAAACTGCAGCTATACGAATATGTCTACACCTCCGAGAATCATTTCCTTGTAAGATCATTTAACCGGCAGACAAAAAACAGTTATAGTATATGACTAGTCAACATTGGATTTCATTTACTTCTGAAAGAAACTGTTTCAGTAATACAAGAAAATCCCAGAAGTTGCAACTTCTCTCTGTCCATATGCATCCACTTTAGTGTTCTTCTTTTGAATTCAGTTCTGAAATGTGTTTTGTGATCATATAAACAGAAACTTGTCTTCGAGTGGGTTGAATGGGATCATAGCGTCCGGCATTCAAAATCTAACCGGCCTTCAAGAACTGTAAGTCGTTTTGCTTTTGACATGATGCAAAAACATTACTGCAAATAGAGACAACATCAGTTTAATGTTAAATGTAAAAAAAATATAACACCAGGGACTTATCAGACAACAACTTGACGGGAGGATTACCTGAATTTCTGGGCACCATGAAATCGTTATTGGTTATGTAAGTTGCTCGTAGAAAGTAGCATGAACATTTGCCTTGGGCTGTTCAGAATTTTGATGATGTTACCAACCTTTCATGTTAACAGAGACTTGAGCAGGAACGATCTAAGTGGTTCGATTCCTCCAGCCCTTCTTGAAAGATCAAAGAACGGACTAAAGCTAAAGTAAAGACGTCTCAAATAATTCTGCTTCCATGATTGTCCATCACTTGTAAACTAATCACTGCCTTGAATCACACTGTAATATGTAGTGTTCAAGGAAATCCAAAGCTTTGCCCGTCAGGTTCATGCAAAGTTCCAGGTGGAAATGGTGAAAGTGAAGGAAACATCGAAAATGGTGGACATGAGAAAAACAAAATCCTAGTACCGATCTTTGCATCGGTTGCTTCTGTCATCGTTATTACAGTAATGCTGGTTCTTGTTTTTATTTTCAGAAAGAGAAAACCATCAAAAGGTACTTTGGAGAGATCACTTTAATCCACAAAATCTCTTGTAACTTAAGCTGAGATACAGTATTTGTTTTGCTCCACAGGTCCACGCCTCTCAATCGAAAAGCAAAAGAGAAGGTATACTTATTCAGAGGTTGTATCAATGACGAGAAACTTCCAAAGAGTTCTTGGCAAAGGAGGGTTTGGAACGGTTTATCATGGTCATGTGAACGAGGCCGAACAAGTAGCTGTTAAAGTGCTCTCTCACTCATCACCTCTTGGCGATAAACAATTCAAGGCTGAGGTACTTTTACTCATGATCATTTAACCGAATATGTCATACATGTTTCCGGAATCATGAGGATGGATTTCGCCTTTTTTACACGGTTGGTCAGGTTGAACTTCTTTTGAGAGTTCACCATGTAAATTTGGTAAGCCTTGTTGGATACTGTGATGAAGGGGACCATGTAGCACTCATCTATGAGTACATGCCCAATGGAGACTTAAGGCAACATCACTCAGGTAAGCTAATTACTTGTGTTAGATGGCCATAACACTACAAGAATTTGGAAGGTTTTAAATTTCTTGCCATATGGTTAATTGCAGGAAAACATGGTGGTTCTGTTTTAAACTGGGCAAGTAGAGTAAGAATCGTTGCTGAGGCCGCATCAGGTTTCTGATTTTTCACGTTCTCCCTATCTTCTCGTTTCATCTTTTTCGTTTTTCGCCACGAACACAAACATGAATGAGTTTTTGACTAAGCTAGGATTGGAGTACTTACACAATGGATGCAAACCAAGGATGGTCCATAGAGATGTCAAAAGTTCGAATATATTGTTGACGGAGGATTTCCATGGAAAACTTGCTGATTTCGGCCTTTCAAGATCTTTTCCAACCGTTTCAACTGTTATCGCAGGCACTCCTGGATACCTTGATCCCGAGTAAGTATTGCTGTTAGGTCATAGCTTAATGCATGTTCTGAAAATGATCTTCCTTTTCCATTTGTTAAAACGTTTGATATCGTATCTTGCAGATATTATCAGAATAATTGGTTGACCGATAAGAGCGATGTCTATAGTTTCGGGATCGTCTTGTTGGAAATCATTACAAATCGACCTGTGATCGACCAAACTCGTGAAAAGCCCCACATAACTGAGTGGGTGCATTTTAAGATTGCCGAAGGAGATATCAAGAGTATTACAGATCCAACCCTCCATGGGGAATGTGACTCTGCTTCTGTCCGGAAAGTTATAGATCTTGCACTGTCATGTGTAAAGCCTTCTTCCACGGGAAGGCCAACCATGTCTGAGGTTGTACATGAACTGAACAAGTGTCTGAAAGCTGAGAAAGACCCCTCGAACTAAAAAAACATGAGCTTTGGCATTGAAGTGAGCCCCGATTGGGCTGCCTACTTATTTCTTTCAGTTATATTCGTGTATATTTTTCAAGTTTTCTTTCTGGAACAGGTTAACAAATGCATTGAGTTGGAAACTTTATCTGTTGATCTGTGAAGAAGCAGTATGTTACAGAATCGCAATGAAGGCCGCAGAGCAAATTCTACACGCAAGTCAACGAATACTGTTGTTACATGATCGATCTCAATATCTCCACGTCGTGAAAATACCCATGGAGGTGACTCTCGCCGATGCAGCCGACAAAACTGTACATCAAAGGCAAGGACAGGACATTGAAGGAAACCTCAAACGACCCAAAGACATGTTTAATTCCTCAGACATGCAGTGGCGATGCAGATGGGCAACAACCCACCTTGGCTTTCTTGGCGATAACGCTCTCTGTGTTTCTCGGGCGTGCTTTCTTCTCCTTTCTCTCGACACCTCCCGTGGCATTTAGAGCTTGGATCTGTTCAAGCTGTGAGACAACCTCTTTCATGTTTGGTCTGAGCTTAACTTCTGCGGACAGGCATCTCAATGCGAGTATCGCCACCTTGTAGGCTTCTTCCATAGAGTATTGATCTTGGAGACGGTTGTCAATAACCCGGAATATCTTCCTTTTATTTGCCATGTATGGTTTTGCCCACTCGACGAGGTTGTGCTGTCCGGTTGGCCGGTTCTTGTCAACAGCTCGTCGTCCAGACAAAATCTCCAAAAGAACTACCCCGAAGCTATAGACATCGCTCTTGGTTGTCAAATGACCTGCGAAAGAGGAAAGTGATGGTCAAGCCAAAATCAAACCCATGAGAGAGATGAAGATCTGGAAAAGATCGAAAAAAATTTACCAGTAGCGAGGTATTCAGGAGCTGCATACCCGTAGGTACCCATGACCCGAGTGGAGACATGACTTTTATCACCCGTCGGTCCATCCTTTGCCAATCCAAAGTCAGAAAGCTTTGCATTGTAGTCCTGTGGCCATGTTCCATCCGAGATGGTTTTCCATCATAAAGCTTGAGGCTTTCGGAAATTTGGTTGTGAGAAATCGAATCATCAATGGTAGAAAAGGTTAAAAATACCGAGTCAAGAAGGATGTTTGAAGTCTTGAAGTCCCGGTATATCACTCTCGTCTCTGCGCTGTGAAGAAAGGCAAGGCCTTTTGCAGCACCAAGAGCCGCTTTCAACCGGAGATTCCAAGATAAGGGTTGGAAATACGAACCTTCTGCAATAAACAAAACCCGAATGTTGAGAAATATTACACGGGTTTTAGTTTAAAAGCATCTCGGGATTCGATTATCACGAAGAACATACTCCTGAAAAGGTGATTCTCCAAGCTTCCCCGAGGCATGAACTCGTACACAAGAAGACGATGCTCGTCCTCCAGGCAATAACCGATCAGCTTCACGAGATGAGGATGAGAAAACTGCCCCAAGAAATTCACTTCTGTCTTCAACATCAGTGAAACAGAAACACTCTTCAGACAAGATGATGCACAACAGGTAGGTTAAAGTCAAGACAGCAAAGAAGCAGACAAGGATCAGCTTTTTATATAGCTTACCAACCACTCCTTGTGACCTTGCCAACCATCCTGGTTAAGTCTTTTGACGGCGATAACCAAACCAGTTCCTGGTTTGGTAGCGGTGAGAGATTGCTCATGGATCCATCCCTTGAAAACGCAGCCGAAGCCGCCTTCACCAAGGACACTGTCTGGTCTGAAATTCCTGGTTGCGGCTTTCAGCTCGGCAAAGCTGAAGCTGTTGAGGGTCGGAGACTGCAAGATCTCGCCCTCTGTACGTGGAGTCGGGCGAACTGACACAGACGAGGCCTTGCTTCCCATACTTCCCGTCTGGTTCCCATCCGAGCTCATGTACTTCGGACTGGCCCCTACACACCCACCAAAAATTGTAGTTTAGTTTTTATCCCTTTTGACAAAAACATTTGCCTAACTTAGAAGCTAACCCCCCCTTATATCCCAATCACCAAAACCTATCCCCGGATGGGAATGTCGGGGAGCAACGAAATAACAAAACTTAACTTTTTAAAGTTCGTACCAGATCTTTTAACCATGAAATGAGAAAAGGGAAAG